TCCTCCTCCACCTCCTCCCCTATCCTCATCAACCTCATGCTCATCATCCTCCTCATCTCCTCCTCCTCTCCTCGTCAATCATCATCGTCAATCATCATCATCATCATCATCATCATCATCATCATCATCATCATCATCATCATCATCATCATCATCATCATTATATTCATCATCACCATCATCATAATCAGAATCATCATCACCATCATCAGCATAATAAGCATCATCATCAACATCATCAGCAGCAGAATCATCAGCATCAGCATCAGCATCGTCATCGTCATCGTCATCATCATCACCAGGCAGCCAGCAAGCAGCATCATCCTCATCCTCATCCTCATCCTCATCCTCATCCTCATCCTCATCATCTCATCATCATCATCATTATCATCATCATCATCATCATCATCATCATCATCATCATCATCATCATCATCATAATCATCATCATCATCACCAGCATCATCATCACTTTTTCATCATCATCATTATCATCATCATCATCATCATCATCATCATCATCATCATCATCATCATCAGCATCATCAGCATCATCATCATTATTCATCAGCTTCATCATTTTTCATCAGCATCATCATCATCATCACATCATCATCATCATCATCATCATCATCATCATCATCATCATCATCCTCATCATCGCCATCCTCATCCTCATCCTCATCCTCATCCTCATCCTCCTGTTCTTCCTCCGTTTCCCCTCCTTTCACTCGGACCCGAGCGGCACAAAGGAAGCGGGTCCTAGGGTATACTCATATCCACCGCCTGGGGAACCGACGTCCCGGGACCCCAGCGAGCGGTGGATGTGGAGATACGTTTGGGCCCCAGGGGGACCGAACACATCCACGTCCACCGCCTGTCGAGGTCCCCGAGGATCGCTGCCCCAGGCGACGGCTCTGGACAGGTTCCCGCCTCTGGCTGCAGGCGAGGAGGGGAGCTACCCTCACTGCGGTCGAAGCCGCTCTGGATCCAGGCGTCGGCGGCTCGGCGGCAGACGGCGGCAGCCGATCCGCGGCAGGCGGCGGCGCACGCCCCGCGCCCACCGTCCACCAGTCACCCCCGCCCTGCCGCAGATGGCAGCTGAACGCTCGGGACGTGCAAGGGGACGCGCCGAGCAACGTGCCAGGGGGACTCGCCACGGGACGCGCCACGGAACTTGCCAAGGAACGTGCTAGGTTGCAATGCTGAGTGTATCGATCTTGATTTACCGTGCCTGAAGCTGTGCTGTGCTGCGCCGTGCTGAACTGCAATGTGTCATGCCGCGATTGTGCTCCATAGTGTTATGGATCGAGTCCTCCTTTGCATCCGAGTCCTGACCGAACTGGTATGGATCTTAAGCTCGAGCTGCCGGAGCACATAGTAGCTGCCTCAAAGCTAACTGACAGGAGGACATGCTAGGAGGACGCGCCGCGGAACGTCCCAAGGAACGCGCCAGGCGACGTGCCAGGGGACGTGCCATGGGGACGCACCGCGGGACGTGCCAAGGGGACGCGCTACGGCACGTGCCAATGGACGTGCCACCTCATGCTGAACATCCGCCTGGGCGAACTGGACACGTGAAAACAAGTGATTCGCTCGAGGCATCCTCAACACATCTTCATGTCAGACGTCAGTTCCAGGCCCCAGGAAGGCCCCTGAAGGCCAATGTTAGATACCCCCTAGGTGGCCTGGACACGTTAAAGCACCTCGTTCCACCATGATAAATACCCCCCTTGGTGGCCTGGACACGTAAAGCCACATGGTTCCAATGCGGGACAATCATGTTATATACTCCCCTGGGTGGCCTGGACACGTAAACACACGTAGAACCAGCTCTGGGCAACCATGTTAGATACACCCCTGGGTGGCCTGGGCACGTTAAAGCACTTGGTTCTTGCTCGGGACAACCATTTTAGATACCTCCTCTGGGTGGCCTGAACACGTAACATGCCAGGAGGACGCGCCGCGGAACGTCACAAGGAACGCGCCAGGCGACGTGCCAGGGGACGTGCCACGGGGACGCACCGCGGGACGTGCCAAGGGGACGCGCTACGGAACGTGCCAATAGACGTGCCACCTCATGCTAAGCATCCGCCTGGGCGAACTGGACACGTGAAAACAAGTGGTTCGCTCGAGACATCCTCAACACATCTTCATGTGAGACGTCAGTTCCAGGCCCCCAGGAAGGCCCCAGGAGGCCCATGATACCCCCTAGGTGGCCTGGACACGTTAAAGCACCTGGTTCCGCCATGTTAAATACCACCCTGGGCGGCCTGGACACCACGTGGCTCCAATCCGGTGAAATCATGTTATATACTCCCCTGGGTGGCCTGGACACGTTAACACACGTGGGACCAGCTCTGGGCAACCATGTTAGATAGCCCCCTAGGTGGCCTGGACACGTTAAAACACGTGGTCCTTGCTCGGGACTAGCATGTTAGATACCCTCCTGGGTGGCCTGTACACATAAAAACACTTGCTTCAAGCTCGGGACAACCACGTAAGATACCCCCTGGGTGGCCTGGACAAGTAAAAACGCGTGGTGGCAGCTCGGGACAACCATGTTAGATTCATCCCTGGGTGGCCTGGACACGTAAAAACACGCGGTGCCAGCTCGGGAGAACCATGTTAGGTTTTCTCTGTTTACAACAGCTTCACGGATCAAGGGCCTCCGACCTCTGCGCGCTACATGTCTGGCCCCGCCGCCCCAGCACAGGGGGGCGGGGGGGCTGAAACGCCGAGCGCGGGTGAGGACACCAGACGATTCGGAGGAGAACCCGGGGGGAGGAGACTCCATCCTGCGACGACGCTGCTGCGCGGGCCGTGCACTGTGGCGGCCGGAGCGACAGAAGAGCGAGGACGTGCACCTACCACCTGGCCGGCCCCGCCGCCCCGGCCAAAAGACCAGCGGAAAGGGGGGCGTGAAACCTGCAGCTGCCTGACCCGCTGCATACGAAAACCCAGCGTGAGCGCAACGAGAATCTCTGCTTCGAACAAGGTATAGCGCACAGCTAAACTCCAGATCGTCGCGCCCTCCAGGCGCGTCTCGGCCGCCCGCGGCCCAAATCCCCCTGCTGGCAGGAGAGAAAGGAGGAGGAGGAGGAGGAGGAGGAGGAGGAGGAGGAGGAGGAGGAGGAGGAGGAGGAGGAGGAGGAGGAGGAGGAGGGGGAAGAAGAGGAGGAAGAGGAGAAGAAGGAGGAGGAGAAGTCCCGCTACTCTTTTACGCGGGCAAAAAAGTGGGGACCATGTCGCGCCCCAAAAATCCAGCACGGAGCACGCGCCTTGAGGCGCCACCCTCTCTAAGGCCCTGGGCCCGGAAAGTCAAGTAGTTACGGAGCGCTTGCTTTGAGGCCCCACCTTACCCAGGCCCCAGGCCCCGAATCTCCCGGTGCTCGGTCATGGGCCGCGTCCCGCTTATCTGCCCCAGGGCCGATCAGCTCTCCGACGATCGGGGCGCCCTGGCCCTCCCCCGCGGCCTCGCTTGCAGAGATGCCCACCTGCACGGACAAATCGCCATAGCGCCTGAAGGCCACTGCGGCAGCTGCGAGCAGCGCGGCTACCCCGATCGCTGCCAGGCCGATCGCCGCAACGCCTGCGAGAGACCGTTGCCCTGCCAACGGCAGGCCGTCCATCACAGAGTACAGCCTGGCGGGGTCCACCAAATCCCAGTTGTCGAAGGCGCACTTCTCTTCGCCGTCCTTGCAGAGCGGGCACTTCTCGTACAGCTCGCCGAGCACCTGCTCACAGAGCAGGTCCTTCACTTTCTCTGGGTCGTTGGAGTCGGACTCGACGAGCTGACCCTCCTCCCCAGTTCGGGCATCCGACTGAGACTGGACCCTATTCGAGAACCATTGGCAGCACGAGTCCGCATCTTCGCGTTTCGTGGGCACCTGCTTATAGCATCCGATCTGGCAGGTGCCGTTGCCGCCGACAAAATCCGTGTAGGAGAACAACGTTCCGCACCCGGAAGCGCGGCGGCGGGGGCGGTTGGCAAGAGGGCGGCGGCCGCGAGCACCAGGCGGGCCATCGGGGTAGGGTTTCGCGCGGACTGAGGCTAGGAGGCCGCTGCTTGTGCAGGCTGCAGCGGGCTGAGCCAAAGCGTCTTGAGCAAAAGCGTCTTGATATCTAACATGGTTTTCCCTATCGGGAGAACCATGTTAGATACACCCCAGCTCGGGACAACCATGTTAGATACCCCCCTGCGTGGCCTAGATACGCTGAATTCGCGCTCCCGCTCGAGACATCCTCGCAGTGTCTTCCCTGGAGAGGCCCCAAAAGCGCCACCCCCTGTCCAGAGCAAGAGAACATAACTTTTCTGTATTGGGATATGTTTTCGGGTAGCATTTTTCGACCCCCCGTGCGTTTCCTGATAATTCGGCGTTGGGCCCGACGCCATGTTGGATATCCCCCCAGGGCGGCCTGGACACGTCAAACCACGCGGTTCCAGTTCGGAAGAATCATCTTATTTACCCCCTCTGGGTGGCCTGGACACGTCAAACCACAAGGCTCCAGTGCAGGACCACCATGTTAGATACCCCCCCTGGGTGGCCTGGACACGTGAAAACACGCGGTTCCAGCTCAGGACCCATGTTAGATACCCCCCTGGGTGCCGTGGACATGTGAAAACACGCGGTTCCAACGCAGGACCACCATGTTGGATGCCCTCCTGGGTGGCCTGAACATGTAAAAACACATGGCTCCAGCTCGGGACCACCATGATAGATACCCCCCTGATGGCCTGCACACGAAAAACTAACGGTTCCAGCCCACCCAGGCGGAATATCCAACATGCGGTCGTCTGGGGCGCCAGCGACGGACAACCATGTTGGATACCCCCCTGGCCGACTTGGGCACGTGAAAACAAACATTTCGCCTGAGACATCCTCTGAATTCTGGGCCCCCACGAGGCCCCCGCTCGAGACATCCCTCAACTCTGCAAAACCAGCGTTTCGCTCGAGACATCCTCTACACATTATACTTTCTGTTTTTTTTTATTTCTTAAACAAAAAATCGCCCGAGACATCCTCTAAAATATTGTCGCCGGCCCTACGCGATCTCGTGATTTATCGCAAATAATGTCGCCAGCCGTAGAGCCGTCGACTCCGGGGGTAAATCTCTAAAAGAAAACCCTGGGCTTCTGCCCTCTCCAGGAAAAGCCAAACTACTCCCAAACCATCTATAACAGAAACCTTCTCCTTCTCACTTCCCCCCCTCGCTCGCCGCCGACATGCGCACCATCTTGCGCGAGCCCCGTGCACGCGTCTGGTGCCACGACGCGACGCGACGGCAGGCAGGGGGGACAGACCTGCTATCAGACTCCCTGGGACACCCGCCCCCCAGGATTAAGTCGGGCGTGTCCCCCCACAGAGGGATTTTGGACGAGAAATAACAAATAATCAAAAAATGTTCAAAAATTGTCGCACGCAAAGAAAATGTTCAAAAATTATCCTGGCGAAAGACCCAACCATATGCAGTTGTGGGCACCGCAATTGTAAATATCCTCGTCGGTAAAATTCCCTCTGGAGCCACGACTATGGCCGTCGGTGGAGCTGCCTATGCGGCCACGAAACGCTGTACTGGGTGGGCGAAAATGCCAAATTGGGTGTGTGGGGCGCATGCGGATGGTCACACTGGAGGCTTCGCTGTAGCTTCCTATGGGGCCACGAAACGTTGCACTCGATGGGTGACAATGCCAACTTCGGCTTCCGGGCCGCATGCGGACGGTCCTACTGGGGGCTTCGGTGGAGCTCCCTATGGGGCCACGAAACGTTGTACTGGGTGGGTGAAAATGCCAAATTGGGTTTCCGGGACGCATGCGGACGGTCACACTAGGGGCTTCGGTGGAGCACCGAATGTGGCCACGAAAGGCTATACTGGGTGGGTGAAAATGCCAAATTTGGTGTGCGGGACTCATGCGGACGGTCCCACTGGGGGCTTCGGTGGAGCTTCCTATGGGGCCACGAAACGCTGCACTGGGTGGGTGAAACTGCCAAATTGGGTGTGTAGGACGCATGTGGGCGGTCCCACTGGGGGCTTCGGTGGAGCTCCCTATTGGGCCACGAAGCGCTGTACTGGGCGTGGCGGACGCATGTGGCCACCCCCACTGGGGCCTTACGTGGAGCTCCCTATGGGGCCACGAAACGCTGTGTTGGGTGTGGCGGACGCATGTGGCAACCCCGCCACGAAACGCTGTACTGGGTGGGTGAAACGCATGGAGGAAGGAGGAGGGGGAGGAGGAGGGAGGAGGAGGAGACGCGGGGACCGTCTCTTCAAAACGAGGACCCAACACCACGGGACGGTTGGGAAATACTCCCCAGACTATTTTTGAACTATCTTTGAATATTCCTCCTGTAGGGGGACAGGCCCGACTTAACCCCAGGCTGAGCCTCGACCGCCCGCCCACCCCCTTTCGAGGGGGCCCAGGGACACGCGGAATAAATTGCCGGAGAGCTCCTTGGAGAGCTAAGAGGGTTTGAGACAAGAAGCCGGCAGGCACGTCTGCGCCAGCTCCTCTCCAAGGCTCCAGGGCATGCAGGCATCCACGCAGCGCCCTGCCTGACGTTGCTGCGTGTCCCGAGAGCGTTCTCATACTCGCTCCCAATGCGCTTGCCCGAAGCGTTTCCGCAGCTCTTTCGCAGCTCCTTCGAAGCTCTCTCTCTCGCAGCTCCTTCAGTTTCGTCCTTGCAAGCGTCCATCGCAGGAACTTCACGCGCTTTGGCCTGCGCTGCTAGCCGGGTGTGGAACTACACAAGTAGACACAAATCCCAGGATTCCCCGCATGTGTCCATATTTCCCAGATTTTCGTCTTCCCTCCACGTTCCATACTTCCCCATATTTACCAAGCGATCGACGATTAGTTGTGTAGGTATGATTTTCTCCCCCGTGTGGACGGCTGAAATGTATCCTCGACCTGCTGCACTCCGCCAGCCGAGTCCACACCTCGCCTCTCGTGTGCAGCCCGCGCCCCGCGCCGCCTTCACTGGCCCCCCGGGAACCCGAAAGGGCCTCTGGAGACCCAAAAGTCAAAACAGCCGGCCATCCCACTTTAGCGACGATCAAAAACGGGCCTTACGCGAGATGATGTAGCGACCTTACGCGGTGGCTTACGCGGGCCGCCAGCGCGGCACGCTACATTGGAAGCGGGGGCGCTTACGCGCGACCTTACACGGGCAGCTCACGCGCCAATGTCGGTGAAGACGCTCTCGTTTTTCTGCATGGATCACTTGTCGAACGAACAACACGTACCCATATCCATAGGGGGCTGGGGAAAGAAAGGACTGGCTGTGGGTACGAGTGCGGGCTGTCGGACCCAGGGGAGGCTCCCGTTCGAGAGGGGGCCCCCATCCGACAGCACGCACCCACAGTCCCCATCCGCCCCCCCTATGGGTATGGGTGTGTGTGTGTTGCTCGTTCTTCACTGCTTGCGTTAAGTCGGGCCTGTCCCTTTACAGGGGGGATATTCAAAAATGGTCAAAAAGTAGTCTGGGGACGATGTTAGACTATTCTTGAATCATCTTTTCAAATATGTTGGGGGCATTTGTAATTGCTCGTCCAAAAAATCCCCCTGTAGGGGGACAGGCCCGACCGAATGCTTGCGCCAAAACGCTGGAAGCGGCGCGCGAGAGGAGGCCGCGTGCGAGGGGGGAACGGCCTCTCCGAGGCGGCCGCTCCGAGGGCAGGCTCCCGGGGGGGAGGGGCGGCCTTCTTGGAAGGCCGCCCCCCCCCCCTCGGGGGCGCGCAAGCACGGAGTAGCGATGCAGGGACTTGGCGCGCGGTCGCCAAACCCGTGGATCGGGAGAGGCGCCCTTCCTTACCTTACCAGCCTCGAACGTATCCCTATCCCTAAGATTGACACGCCAGAAGGCGATGACGATCTTAGGGAGTCGCCCTCAAAAAATAAGGGAATCCCTAAGATTGGCATCGTGATGAGGAGGTGCCCAGCATAGGGATAGGGATATGTTCCAGGCTGGTAATTACCTGCCGCCGGTGCCGCCTCGTCCAGGGGCGGACGTCCGCGACCGCCCATGGAAACGGGAACCCCGTCGCCAGTGCACGCCCACTGGATCCGCGGCTGCGGTCGCCTGACCTTCGCGCCGCCCCCCGACACAAGAACCTCGCTCCGAGCTGGCCTGCCTGGACCCTCCCAATCGGGTCGGACGGCGAAAGGGGGGGATAGCAAAGGGGGGGTTTGAGAATCAGCTCGCGTGGCTGATTTTCCCGGCGCCTCCCGGCGCCGGAGGCGGCCATGTATTATCGAGGAATGGGCCCCTCGGTGAGGCCGAAACCAGCTGCATGCAGCAACAAATTTCGTAACCCCCCCTTTCCCAATCCCCCCTTTCGTCCGGCCCGACCCAAGCAAGGTCCATCCTGGCCCGTGGTCCGAGCCGCGTCCGGCCGAGCACGGACCGTCTCACGTCGTGGCCTCATCCAGCACAAGAGGCCCCCACGCCTCTCGACCCCCCCTTCGCGGGGACCGGCGTCTCATCCCTCGGCGACTTGTCCATGATCCCGAGGCCCAGAACAGGTTCTTCTGGAGGCAGCGACGACTGAAAATCGCTGGCACCGAACTAGGGGGCCGAAGAAGGGGGAGACGAAACGAGGAGGAGGAAGAAGGAGAAGAAGGATGAGAAGGATAAGAAGAGGAAGAGGAGGAAGAGGAGGAAGAGGAGGAAGAAGAAGAAGAAGAGGAGGAAGAGCCCCCTCTGACCCCCCACGAACCTGACACAGGAGCGCCCTACTCCGAGGCCAGCCCCGCCAGCGGCGGACTCGGCGCGCTCGGCCTCGCCCCGACGCCGGGGCAGAGGAGCCCGCCGCCGCCCCGGCGGGCAGCCGCTGGGCGCGCGCGGGGAGCGGCCGCGGGCAGCGACCGCCTCGGCGCCGCCCCGCTCGGCGGGCGGAGCGCCCCACG